TCGCGCCTGTAGATGAGCATTCCATAAGAATTGCTCCAGAGAGGATCCAGAATGTCTCTCTGGAAGGTGATGTTTTAACTATTTCTCTCCACAGGGACTATGTTGAATCTGTAGATCTGGCAGGTCATGCTCAATTCCTTGCCAGAATTGAAAGGGTTAATAACAACTTATTCTTTCCTATGCAAATAAATGACTTAGGAAGAAGTAGGAATGCAAAGCTGGACTTACAGAGTGAGAACAGCTATATTAGCAGAAGTCTGTTAAAGCAGATCGCTAATCCTAAAATGATCAGGTACGCTTCCCCACATGACAGGTGGATCCAGAATCTGGATGGCGAATCAGAGAGTCACAATGTGATAGCAAAATGTTTACTATCTATTTCCATCGGAAATATGACAATGAAACATTTATTCCTAGTGATAGACGAACCTCGCTATCAGGTTTACATCGGCAATGATGTCATACATCGCTTTGCCATACACCTTGACCTGATTAATTCCAACTTGTGGACAAGGTTAAAAGGTAATCCTTGTGGATACCTACATGAGGAAAACGCCCTGAAATCAGGACAAATACTCCCATATGCGGTAAGTATCCAAGTTCCTGATGACATAACCATTCCACAGGGGACAAGTAATTTTCTTTTACCCCTACAGGTCAAGAAGGGTCAGAGATTAGAAAACTCTGATGCCCTAATCTGTTTATCCAATAGGATACAACAATTAGGGATGGTGGTAACACATACACCAATGGTAAGTATTGGTAAGAATCCCACCTATATCATGGTCAATAATGTTACACCTAATAGTGTTACTTTACCAAAAGGAACATTATTAGGTCTAGCATTGGATGCTGAGTACTATACATTTGGTTTCCAAAACCAAATTATAGGCCTCATCCCTGAAGAATACTTAACTGAGGATGAAATTGTCGATCAAATATTCCATTCCTCCCCAGAAGGATTATTCACTATCCTATCTGTGTATCCCTTCAACGTTGAAGAAGGCTCATGTAAAATTGAAGAAGCATCTATCACCTTCGATCATCCGCTCAATGAGCAGGAATCACAAGAGTATCTCGACCAAAGAGAAAAGGTAAGTCAACACCGAACTGACCTAACTTCTAGGCTTGAAGAAGCTTATGAGATAGGCCAGCCTGAAATCTTTCCAGGATTTCAGGAAAGGCTAGAAGAGCAAATATCTTTAGCTGACGGTTGCTCCAACGATGCTGAGCGGCAGCAGCTAAAGGAAATCCTTTTGGAATTCCAAGATATTTTTGCCAAAGATTCCTACGACTGTGGGTTAACTAACCTCCACGTAGCCAGAATACAAACTGATCCAAATTTACCACCTGTATTTATCAAACAATATAGACTCCCATTAGCGTCATATGATGGTCTACAAGACATCATTCAGAATTTAAAGGAAAGGGGCATTATACGTCCAGTGCACAGTTCGTATAATAATCCGATCTTGGGGATTCTGAAACCTAATGGACAATGGCGTTTATGCGCTGACTTACGACAGCTAAATAAACGCGTCTATATGTCTGGTTGGCCAACACCATACATAGACCAATGTTTGGTACAAATGCAGGGATCCAAAATATTCACTGCCATTGACTGTGCGCAGGGATATTGGACTGTACCAGTCCATAATGAAGACCAATACAAATTGGCCTTCACATTTGGAAAGCAGCAGTATACCTGGACCCGTATGCCTTTCGGTTACATAAACTCTGGTCATGAATTCGCTGTGTTCATGCATAAAGCTATGCCTGACGCACTCGAGAGAGGAACGTTATCATATGTCGACGATGTCTTGCTGAAAAGCACTTCCTTTGATAAGCATATCTTAGAGATTAGACATGTTCTCACTCAGTTAAGAGAGGCAGGGATTAAACTGTCTTTACAAAAGGCACAATGGTGTCGCACCCATGTCAATTTCCTCGGACATGAGGTAACTTCTGAAGGATTAAATCCCCAGAGGAAGAAGGTTGAAGCCGTACTAAAGGCTAAAACACCTTCAAACATCAAGGAATTAAGATCGTTCCTTGGTATGACTAACTACTCCCCTAAGTTTATAGATAACTATGCAGAAATAACTAAACCACTCTTACACCTGCTTAAAAAGGAAACTACCTGGAACTGGGGGGAGCCTCAGGACCAAGCGGTAAGTGAACTGAGGAGGAAGCTCACTCAGGCACCCTGTTTAGCATACCCAGAGGGGGGTAAACCTTTCTATCTGGAGATAGGATATACCGATTTAAGCATAAGTGCTGTTCTGTATCAGAAGCAGGACAGTTTAAACAAAGTTATTGCATATGCTAGCAAGACTTTGTCGCCTGTTGAAGTTAAATTCAACACATGTGAGAAGGCGTTATTGTCGACTGTCTGGGCACTACAAAATTTTCGTAGCTATATCCAAGGTGAGAAAATAATTGTAGAAACAGCTCACCAACCTCTACAGTATCTGCAGAGTGAAAGAATTAGAGACGGTAATCTCTCTAACAGTCGGATTACTGCATGGACTCTATCCTTACAGGGATGGCCGTTAGAAGTCCGTTATAAACATAATAAGAGAAGCCCAGTTGCCCAAGGTTTAGCAGAATTACATGACTGTACTGCTCCATCTCTGGATGATAATGACACCGGAGATGACTTCCTAGAAGAGCAATTGCTATCTCCTTATAAAGTTTATGACGAGGAATACTGTCGACCACTACCGTGGGTATACATTGATGGTTGTTCATATCACCACGTCGCTGGTGCTGAACGGAAGTTAGTTGCAGGTATCGGAATCGCCTGGACAGGTGATTATCCTAATGTATCTATAGGATACAATATTGGTCCCAAAAGCAGTCAGATAGCCGAACTCTGTGCAGTATATAAGACCATTCAAATGGCAATAGAATATGGTATCAAAGAATTTGTTATTATAACTGATTCCAACTATGTTCGCAACAGTTTCGTCGAATATCTGCCTAGCTGGAAACGTAACCAAATGCTGAAAAGCAATAACAAACCTGTTAAACATGGGAAATTGTTTTGTAAAATTGATGAGTTGGTTAAGGAAAATGGTTTATCCATATATTGGAAGAAAACCAAAGGCCATTCTAAAATAGAAGGTATTGACAAGGATGGTAATGACTTAGCCGATTCACTGGCAAAACAAGCTGCCATCAATGGTGAAACCCTAAACATTGATGATCTTATGGGTTCAATTCATGTTGAAGCCATAACCAGACGACAGGCTAGAGATAATGCCGACTTAAATGTCGTGCAATGGAGTCAAGAAGCTCCTAGCGAGGACCTGATTACTAGTCAAAAGAATGATCCCGTCATAGGTATTTTCTATAGACATATAGAAGACCCTACTGCCAATCCCATCACAGATGAGGATTGCAAAGATAATGAAGATTTACGAATCTTGATGAGATATAAAGTCCAATTTAGTATCATGGATGGGTTACTGGTCAGAACTTCTAAACATGGTATACAACAATGGGTAGTCCCAACTGTATACAGAGGGTTAATGCTCCAACACGCACATGATGCACCTACATCTGGGCATCGTGGTGATAAGATCACATATGAGATATTGCGTGATTATGCATATTGGCCACACATGTTAAGGGATGTTAAGACATACTGTCAGGGATGCTTGATTTGTCCGCAATATCAACCCCATGGTCCAACCCATCGTGCACCACTTCAGAAGAGGGGGGTGTCATTACCCTGGTCTGATATTCAAATTGACTTTATAGGTCCTGTAACAAGATCTTCAAGAGGTAACAAATACATGTTAACCGTTACATGTATGTACACAAAGTGGATAGAATGTTTGCCTTGTAAAGAGAACACGAGTACCGTGTGCGCCACTTTGTTGATTAACCATGTCTTTTCCAGGTTCGGTCTGCCTCAAAGAATTGAGTCAGACAGAGGTAGTCATTTTACCAGCGAAGTAATGGCTAAGATGTGGAACATTCTAGGTGTTAAACGAAAGCTACATATTGCATACCGCGCTGCGTCTAGCGGGGGGGTAGAGCGATATAACCAGTCTATCGTTAATATTCTAAAGAAATATGTTAAGGAGTCTGGTAAAGACTGGGACATTAAATTGCCCCTAGTTTTAATGGCGATTAGAGCTACACCTAGCACTGCTACCAAATTGTCACCTTTTGAATTGATGACAGGAAGAAAGATGGTTTTACCACAGCATTTACTATATCGTACTTCGGATCATAACTTGATCAATGCTGCCACTACGCATCAGTATATCGAAGATTTGCGCAAGCATTTACAGCATGCGTTTGCTTTTGCCCAAAAGAATCTAGAAAAAGCAGCGACAGGGGTTAAGACCTATTACGATCTAAAAACCACGAAAAAGGAATATGAGATAACAGATCAAGTCTATCTGTATAACTTTGCGCGAAATCAAGTTAAGGAAAATAAATTTTTACCTTCTTGGAAAGGGCCATATGTCATCATTGACAAAATTTCCCCAGTAGCGTATAAGATAAAAATTCCTAAGGATGGTGATTTTATTGAAAAGTGGGTTCACATTAACCAGTTGCGTGCTTGTCATCCTAAATCTCAATTAAGGATTATAGGTGTGGATTCAGACGCAGAAGGATGAACGACTAACCTGGATGAATGCTTGATTCATGTGGTATAGTATGATGTGAAATGTTGTGGTGTGCCATGATCTCATGTACGTTCATGTCATTAACCATTTCTTGCCATCCAATAACTACATTTTATAAGCAGGTTACTAGCTTATTTAGCTGCTATAGGCAAATTACTGAAGAGTCAGTAATAAATGTAGTGAGGGATGAAGTTATAAAAATAGAATTAGACAGAATACATATGTTGATGAATCGTAATAATGTGTTGTCCTAGGCCAAGTGATGTCACACTGTTATAAGTTTGTATGCTTAACAAACCTTGAATCATTAGTAGATAAGTCTGAAACGAGTTCCTGATCCGTGACTGTCGAAAGATGTCCAAGAAGGATGTGGTGTATTTCTTGATCGTACTGCTCCTGTGCCAAGAGCTACGGACCGACCCGATGGGACCATCCTCCGGCATCCTGATTCAAGAGACACCAGGGTTCATCTTAACAGAGAAGAGGATCCTGAACCGACGTGTGTTCGTCAGCTTGGACCCCAAGATTTCCATTGAGAAGGCATACAACATTTCATCGATGCAGCTTCCTGAGTTACAGACTTGGTACCAGATGCACCTCCAAAGAGCACAGGACCGTGTGCGAAACATCTTGGAGCAAGCCCGGAAACCATTTGTATCCAGTTCTATTCCGATGAGCAACCGACCCAAAAGGTTCCTCACCGCTATAATTGTTGCATTAGTTTGTGCCACTGTCGGTGCAGTTGTCGCAACTGGAATGTCTGCAGCCAACTCTATTACTGTCCAAAAGCTGGATATGGAAATCTATGCGCTAAAGCAACACATTAACGATATTCATCAGGTGATAAACCAGCAAAGAACACTTATCCAAGACGTGTTAACTATTGTGGAAGACACAGTTGTTACAACAAATTTCTGCATGACCCAATATTGTTCCACACACTTGCTTTTCTCGACGAAGTGCAAACTGGAATGATCGAACTGGCAGGGGGACGCATACCTCTGTATTTTGTATCCAAGGATATTGTTCATGCAATGCTTGCCAATGTGGATGGAGAGACAATTGAGCCTATGCAATTAAATCTGGCCTTTGAGATGGGGAGCGCTATACCTCTCTTAATTGATCCGGAACGTATGGAGATTTGCTTTTTATTGACCATACCATATGTAACTCCCAAAGACATTTTTCAAATGAAAATAATGTACTATGTTAATAATGATATTATGGTTGATTGTACTAAGCGTAAAGTTCAAAACTTTTACAGGTACAAATATATACAAAAATGTTCATTCCACGCACGGGCCTATGTTAGAAATGATGTGATTGCACAATATGTCTGTAACTTCTATAGTGCTTATTCATAAGCTAAATTAATTTTGGCTATGAAATGCACTAAAGGGGGGTTATGTCAGAGTATTTATATCGGCAGACATTTTGTGCTATGATAGAAACTAAAAGTGTATATTCTGAGTCACTCTGAACAGACCAGACTCCATTTTGTTATTTCAAGTTAACAAAGAAGACACTAGATTTCTTTCTGTAAGACTGGCCTCTTTGCCAGAGCTAAGGAATGCATAGCATAGTATAAACAAGTGATAAGAAGAATATAATCAAATCTAAACCCAGACAATTGTGACAGAGAAGATTAAATAATAAAATGTAACTGTCTATATATATATAAGGTACCATTGTATGGAAAAGGGTAAACTTAGTTCATGATCTGCCATATCAGAAAAAAACTCAGATTTGCAGACACATAGTCTGGACAAAATTTAAGAAACCCTTTGATCTTTGAAGGATACGTAAGTTATAGCCACTATCTAGATAGGCCAAAATGACGTCAAAATAGCCACCAGGAAAAGTTAACTCTTTCCTGGATAGGTATGTTTAGTGGGACAAGACTGCCCTCTATAGACCAAATACCTAATTTGCGATCTGGAAGATAACCACACCTCTAGTGCTTCTATTGGGTTATCAACCGATGACGTACAGAGAGTCTGGCCCTTTAAAAGTTAAGACAAAGATAGAGATATAGGAGAGGATACGGGGGCAGATGGAGGACATATGCAAGAGAGGCAGATGCAACATATGCAAAGGAGAGGAGAGAGGAATTGGAAGTTTGGGGACTCCAACTCGGACAACATCTGAGACTAACACTCTACTCCTAAAACTCTAACACTTAGAATTTACTGACTTTCACCAACACCTCCATGCAGAGAGAGACATCCAAATAAGTTCCTGAGACTACCAATCGGATGAAATATCTACTCAACTGGTAATTATACTGGTTTCATTTAATTAATTAAATTAATTAAAATGTATTAATAGCATTATATATGACTGGATAAAGCACGGTCAGATTTCCATATTAAGAAATCTTAGTTAACTAAGAATATATAGTTATAAACATTCCATTCTGCAGGTGGAATTAAGAATAATTATATATTGATGTGATATTATCACGTGTTAGCATACCGCTGTTTTTATCCAGGTGTATTGATTTGCTCTAAATTAAGATAGATATCTTTTAGACAAATTAAAAATCTGCTTATATAATATATTAGATTCTCTTATTGGATGGTTTAAGAAAATGACTAGTGAACTGGTTTAAATGTTATTTTATTTAAAAATTACATAAGAATAGATCTTAACTATCTAGGAGATCTAGCCAGCATTGGAAGGGTTATTCTAACTGTCTGCTAAACTTTACGACCTTACGCTGCACTCTGAGGAATTCTGTTCTTCGCTGTGAAAAGTTTCACTTAAGTCTGTGTTAAGGATACCTCATAAATCGTCAGAATTCTTGACAGATAATGCCGTTTAGCCATTGAAACGTAATACCCATTTCTTTGTATTGCATATCGTTTTATACTGGATATTCATTGATTATTGTCATGCATGTTACATGTTATTATTAATTAATTTGTCATCATGAATAAAAATCTATTTTTATACATTGTGATTTTAATTATATGAAATACATTTCACTTACGATAAACGTTCTTTGGGATCTGAGAATTGAATTAGTGGGCAATTCTCAACTGTTTACTATTATTATCCCATAAATGTCCCACAATATATATATATATATAAATATATATATATATATATATATAAATAAATTTGTGTTTAGTATTTTGTTAGTTTAGTCTGTTAGTGTGAAACATGCAGCACATGTACAGCTTGGAGGAGGCATATGTCTTCTTGGCGTCAGACTCTGAAGCCACTGACACTGCGTCCGATTTTGACCTAGGTCAGTTTAGCGACACGTCTAGTGACATGTCATCTGTGTGTGAGCCAGCTGCTAAAAGAAGCTGTGTTTCCCCTGCTACGCCGAATGTGGAGGAGGACTGGGTACCTCCACAGTCAGCTGAGCCCAACATCCCCCCTTTTGGTGCCAACGCAGGCATTAATGTGAATGTGGTTGACTTCTCCCCTATACAATATATGGAGTTATTTTTAGGGGATACCATCTAGGAGGAGATTGTTTCCCAGACTAATGTATACACTAGCCAATTTACTGAGACCAATCCAGGCAGCTATACAGTCAGGGAGCATGCTTGGCATCCTACAGATGTCCCTGAACTTAAAAAATTCTGGGGTCTTACAGTGCTCATGGGGATAATAAAGAAGCCATCAATCCGCTCTTACCGGAGCACCAACCCAATTTGTTCGACTCCTATATACTCACAAACAATGCCTAGACCAAGATATGAGCTGCTGCTGAGATACTTACATTTCAACGACAATACCCTCTGTCACCCCAGAGATCACCCCCGATATGATAGGCTTCATAAAATACACCCACTGGTAGACCATCTTAAGAACAGATTTTCTGAAGTTTATACTCCCCAACAAAATGTATCTATTGATGAATCCCTTATGAAATATAGAGGGAGATTATGGTTCTAACAGTATATCCCCTCAAAGTGGTCTAGGTATGGCATTAAAGTGTACAAACTGTGCGAGAGCGAAAGTGGCTACACTTTTGCCTTTTGTGTATATGAGGGGAAAGATGCTCAACTGAACCCTCCTGGCTGTCCTGACTCTCTGGGGACAAGTGGGAAACTTGTTTGTGGCCTACTGATCCCCTTGTTCAATACGGGTTACCACCTTTATGTGGACAATTTTTACAGCAGTGTCCACTTGTTTAAAATTCTTTATCGTTTGCAGACATCGGCCTGTGGCACTGTAAGAAGAAATGCCAAGGATTTCCCCAGACCTCTCATAGAGGCCAAATTAAAAAAAGGTGAATGCAAAGCTCTGCGCAAAGCTGAACTGCTTGTGCTAAAATTTAAGGACAGGAATGATGTTCACATGCTAACAACCATTCATAACGAAGGCATGTCAGACGTCACTGTCCGAGGCAGGGTACAGACAAAATCTGTTTGCATCAGAGCTTATAACAGGCACATGGGGGGTGTTGATTTGGCTGATCAGCTGATGCAGCCATATCTTATCTTAAGAAAGACAAAAGCCTGGTATCAAAAGGTGGCTATCTCCCTGTTGCAAGTAGCAACACATACTTCATTTTTACTCTTTAAAAAAAATGAATCCAGGAAGAACCACCTCTCTCCAATTTCAGTTTAAGCTGATTTCCACAATAATTTATGGAGATGGTCAAGTTCCAACAGCGGTGCAAGAGGAGTCCAGACATTTTTTTTTTAAGATACCGCCAACACCAAAAAAAAAAAGAAATCCCCAGAAATGTTGCCGGGTCTGTTATAAAAAAGGGAAAAGGACAGACACCCCTTTGCACTGTTTTTTTTCTTTTGAAAGAAGCAAATTTTAGTTAGTCAGTTTCCTTCCCCCAAATCTCCAGTTAGATTCTTTTTGCAGGAGTTAGTTTAGAGAATGCTGCTAAAGGTGCATTTGATACCTGCACATTTGGTTAAAAAAGTTTTATGGCAGTAATATATAACTGGCTGGCCAAAACCAGATGACGTGTGCATAAAAAGCAGAATTCAAAAATTACCACCATGCATGTTCTCTGAAATTTGTTTAGCACAATGGTTGGGGGAAGGATGTGAAAACACCCCATATACAATACCCTGGAATGTCTACTTTATAAAAATATAAGCTTTCATGATGTTAACATTAACTGGGGGTGCAAAAATATGCCAAACTGAAGATAGGCCAAGCATACCTATATATCAAGTTGAAAAACTGATATGTACAAGTCTCGATTGTGGCCTTTTAGCCCCCAAACAACCCAGCAAACCTATGCATGGGTGATATCACTGTACGCAGGAGATCTTGCTGAACACATATTGGTGTGTTCTTTGGCAGTGACACATAACACGATCTGTTAATTCATGCCTAAAGTACAATTTGTGTGAAAAAAAATACACAAAAAATGACTACCTAAAAGTTTGACAAAGTCTGGTGGTAGAATTAGTGCATGGAAAGTGTTAAAATACTACCATTTGAAATACCCTAGGGTGCCCACTTTCCAAATATATATGGTTTGGTGGGGGTAAAATACTGTCATGCGGACCCCGCCCTCCTCTGACGCAGCTTTGACGGTATTTAGGGAGACCGCGCCAGAGAGAGGGTGCTTGGTGATACTGGGAGCTACTTCCGCCAGACTTACCTCTCCACAGGCTCCGGCAATGTGGGTCCTACTTCCGAATATGCACACCGGCTCCTGGGACACGCCAGCTCTACAAACTCTGAAGTCGTCCTAGCCTTCTGGGCTAAGAAAAGTATACTTCATGTCATAGAGGATTACTGGAGAACAGAAACTCCCTTACTTTACACGTGGACCATACCTCTGAACTATTGGAGGACTACTCAGATTAACCTTAAGTATATCTTTCAGCTATTTGTCTACATTGTCATTTATTAATGAACTAATGCTTGCTTACTCAAATTTTCACTGCTTCAAGCTACTAATTTATGGAGGACAACTCCCATCATGTTTATTCACTATAAACTGTTCCTGCTTTGCAAATATTCTCAGCTACTTGCTTAAA